ATGGCAGCGTTTCGCGAGATGATCGGCGAGTCGGCTGGCTCGCAAACGGCGCTGGCCATGGCGACGGCGATGGTCGACGTGGATGAGGCGGCGACGGTCGACGCTACGTCGAGCAGTCGAACCTGGGGCCATGGCACCTGCGCAATCTGCTTCTTCTGCGCCGACTCGCCCAATCAGACCGAGGCGACGCTGGAGACGATGCGGTCGCGAGAGACCCTGCGCAGGATCATCCATGACTACAGGTGCCAGCTCTGTTCGGGCGGGCTCCGGTACCTTTTGACGCGGCAAAAATGGGCTGACAAATTGGCTTGCACCGGCACTAGGCAACCTACACTTGCCAGGCTTGCCTTCAGTTCACGTATGCTCGTGAGGGGTCGGTTTTCGGTACCATCAAGTCGAGGCAGCATCGACTGTGGCAATTCACGGCCAACCAGGGTTCCGCCATTTTAAGCCGAAATGTTGTGGTCTCTGCTTTGCTCTCAGTCTCCGTTTGACGCATACAATTGATGTGACCTCTTTTTCGCAACTTGATCGTGTTGTCAGGCCGACCGTGTTGGATACAACTCGTCGGAAGTTATGATAAGTTCCAGTGTTGAAACGTGTGATTGATACATTTCCAGACGCTTACCGGCCTCGTCAATGGGTCTTGTCATTTTCAGCAGCAATTCCTTGAAGAAATCTCTGTCGAACGAGTGAGCCAGCACGCCTACTTCTTTAGTTCACTGCTCAAGAGGTCTGTCCTATTTGTGAGTTTAGTGTGGCTTCGTCACACCTACTCTTTACAATGTCCCCCCCCCACTCTGGATTTGCTGATCAGAGTTGGACCTTCAATCCGGATCTCGCTGATGCGGTAGTAGATCTGTCCATATCTTTCTACTCTGATGGATTTCTAGTCTGTAACGTTTGTGATTCTCCGTCTTCTCGTTCCTGCCATCCCCGGGACCCCAAAGTTGTCGGTGTTCCTTCGAGCTGACCACATTCGAAGGGAATGTCGTCTCTTGGTTTCCACAGGTTGCTTACCCACGTCTTCGCATTTTCACTGAATTTCACACAACCTTGCTTTCCAAAAAGTTATTCTCATCCAAGCCGGAGTGAACTGCACTTTTGACCTCGCCTGAACTGGTCTTATCAGCAACCCCAACGGGACTCGAACCATGCCAGACGAGCGTTCAACCTCATCACGTTAACCGCTACGCCGCATTGCCACGAGTGTCTTTGTGTGAATAGTGGGGCACAGATCTGATATAGCAAATCTACCAGAAGTCTATGAATAGTTTGTATCAAACGAAAAAGAAGTAATATAGCCGATTGCCATGGCAAATACGACTTTGCTCCTTTGACAGTCCCACCAGATAATGTGGTATGGGT